CCAGAGTATTTTTTAACACAAGTATCTGTACTTTTACTCAAGTACGGAAAGTGAGTACTTTTGCCATCTCTGATCTAACCTGCCCTAAATTGTGAGCATGTCCAGTCTTCTCAATACTAAAAATGTGTCATTACAGCATTTTTAATAAATGCCATTTATACTTTATAGTATAAATGCCATAGTTTATAATGCGGAATGGTTAGAGTAAAGAGATAAAAGAATTAAAGCTGTTAATATGTATGGCAGAGACTGAGACAAATTGGAAAAAAAGCCCAGGAATACTAATTATTTAAAGCAAAAATTAAGAATATAAGACATGTCATGTTGACAAAAGCTTGATTCTATTTTCTTTTTTAGAAGGCTGAATTTTACAGTCACTGTAAGAGGGAAAAAGTAACTAACAATTACCAACCGATGTTTAGATCAGCCGAAGTGCAGTATATCATTTTCTATCGTCTATCTGTTTGATCTGTTATTGGTTCCACCCAGCCAACCTTGAATGCACCATCTATCCACCGTCTGACTGCCACAAGTTCTTGAGCCAGTTCTGTTACCTATTTAGCTCTCAGCTTTTCGCCAGTGTCCTGCCAGATCGTCTACAGTCCTGAGTCGGCATTCAGGCCATCTGTTTTCGTAGCCATTCACATATTATTTTGTGATAAAACCTGCTTCCTTGGGTTGTGTTTCTTTGGGTCCATTCTGTTTTGGTACAAGACATTACAATCCAAGGTGTTTCTGCCGATCATATGATGATTTCTACAAGAAACTGGCTTGAGCTGAAACTACTAACAGACAATAAGGGCACAGGGAACTGTTAAGGATTATTTTCCTATTTTACAATATAGACCAAACCAGTACTTATCCAAAAGTTTGCAAATAATTTGAGGTTCTTCCAGTTTTGAATTAAAAAATAAAGGGTTTCCTGGAAGAGGACATCTTTGGACAAAGCTGGAACTTCAAAAGGTTTTGAGGCTTGGAGCAGTGAAAGAAAAAAAATGCAAAAAGACACTTCTCAGTCTGTTTTATTTCATGACACCTTGGGGACAAACAGATGGGTTATTGACAGACTTGTTCATCTCTTTGGTTCGAATAAAGCCCCTATAGGAAGTAAAACATAATTTCTTTGGCAAAATCATTTTTACCACAGATTTCTGATGGGTATATGCCTATTTCACACAAACTGAAGTTTAAATTAGTAAATTAAACTTTAATGCTATAGTCTGAGCCTAAAGTTCATATTCATAACTTGTGTAATAAATATTACAAAAAAATATTACAAAAAAATATTACAACTTGTGTGTAATGGTGGCTACTCTGTGTGGGACTTTGGGGTTTTATTTTTTTTTTTATGGTAAATGGTTCTTTGGGTTTTTTTAGATATTAACTGTGTTTTGAGATTTTTAGGCACTGATACTAAATCTTTAATTTATCTCTATAACTAGATATAGTCAATTCGGTAAAACCTAAGCAGCAAAAATATTTTTCCTGTCTTTTCTTTTAATCATCTTCTTCCTGTAAAATGATTGAGGAGACTCTGATCCTTTGGACTCCTTTGCTGTATCTCAGTAATGAAGGGAAGGGGGACTCGTTCCCTCTGTTCAGTTTTCTGGTAATAAGGACAGACTGTCAGGTGAGCAGAAAGAGAAGATAAATCTGCCATTTCCCATTTATCCACTGCAGAGAACAAATGGCTGAACTCCCACACCTGCAGAGGAACAGAAGGAGAGTCATGAAGGCAGGAGAGTCAGGATTGGCGATTTCTTGATGGATTGTATTTCTCACAGGTTTGGAAATCCACTTGTCTTGTCCATGTGAGAGGTTTGTTCTCTCCCAGCGGAGGGTCACCATCCCTCTGTCCTGCAGCAGAGAGGAGCACACCTGCCTCATGAGATGGGACACCAGGGCCAGCTGGGACAGGGATAGGCTGTCCAGGAAGCTGGCCACATGGCATAGCACTTCATAGGGCAACAAGCTCAGCCAGTCATCCCTTTCTCCTTCATGACTTTTACTTCTTGGAGCAGGAGAGGGGTCTGTCTTGCC